TGAACAGAGTGCGTTATTCTGCCGTGACAATCAAAGTGAAAAAAAATTTGTGGTCTTAAAGCAAAAATTTTGCGTTTAATATCAACTAATAGGGCTGAAAAACAAACGGAAAACGATAGAAAAACTGCGCGGCAAAAATTCGTTATCCTCTAGCTTGGGCTTAAGAGGTAAAGCTTATGCGTTGTTAAATAAAGGTAATGGCGAATAATATTTACCTTTTCCCTGAAAAAAAACAAAACTGAAAGAAAAAAATTTTTTTTTAACTTTTTTGATTATTTGACATTTTGTTCAGCAACTGCAATGACTTTAGAGATTTCGAGAATTCTCTTCCCTTAATCAAGTGGCTAGTTTCTATTGCTTTGGAATCAGTACTCCTGAGGTTTTGGAACTTCTGCAACATAGATGCGGGACGCTGAATTCCAGCCACTGTAAGCGTCTGCGTCTCCATAACCTTTACAATCACCGACACAGAATCCCACCCGCACTTTGCCTTTATGAACGTTTGTACAGTGTCCCTCGATATGGCGGATACGATGGGGATCTGCGTGCTTTGACACTCCACCCAGGTACACAAAACCATCAATTGGCAAGGGACCCGAGCATTCAGCACCGTTGAAAGTGAAATACCAGCGTTTGCAACATCCTGTGCAGCCATGCACGCGAAGGGCTCCATTCCATGAAACACGGATAGCTGTATCATCGCGAAGCTTGGTGAACAAGCATTCCTGTAATAATTATTTTACGTCAACAGTTTTAATTGAAAAGTAAATGATATGGAAAAAATCCATGAAAAACAGAAACATTTAGATCACTGCCGCGAAGATGAGAAATAGAAAGTTATCATATAATCCGAAAGCCGTCAATGGTACGGCTTTGTTGCAAAAAGACAGAGACCCGTCATCTTCTGTTGCGCAAAACATGATTGATAGCAGTGAACAAAAATGAGAAAATGCGTCACGTTTTTCGATGAATTGTGAATTTCTTCATCCGACTCGAAAAAATTAAGGAAAAGTTTTTTGGTGGTTTTCCATCGCGTGCCAGACTACGTCAAAACAAACTTTTCGAATTTTAAAGACTTATTCAGTGGTACTATGATAAAATACTTATTGAACCGTTCCATTCAATAAGTACATATGGCTGCAAGTTATATTCCAAGATGTAATTGTAAAAGAGGAGAATTAAAAATGAGAAAGCTGTAAAGGCTAACAATTAAGTCTTCACGACACGAATTATGACAAAACATTAATTCTATCTTAAAACAACAACAACAACAACAACAGTAGTAGCAGTAGGAGAAATACTTAGATGAGAAATATAGAGAGGTTGTTTTTGCAATGAAATTTATACAATTATAAAAATTTTACGATGAGTGCATTTGATTCACAAAATTGTTCTTCTTTTGGATTTTGTGTCTGTTTATATGCATGACACGTAGCTGCGCTGTAGGTCAGAACATGGTAAGGAGAAAAACAAGTTTAAACTGGTTGAATGAAAAGCGTTCGTTGATACCGTGGGGATTAAGAGTGCCGATTTGAAAATTAAACTTCCTCGCTATAGCTTTGCAGCTTTCAGAACAAACTAAAAGTAAGGAAAGGCCACAGACTGCCATATGTTACGTAGGATGATTGGGGAGACTTAGGTGTCTAGCGACTGGTTTTGATGCCCCCTTGTCATTCCTTTATAAGTTGCGAAGGTGTTCTCGGAATCGATCACCTAGTCTGTCGGAGACGGACTTTTAATGCGTGACTAATAAGTGAGAACAATACGGTGAGGCCGGATGCGTTATTTTAGCTTGTCTGCATTTTTTTGAGCCTTTGTATATATATAT